TATATTCCTTGGTCCTTGAGCCAAAATAATATTTCCTCCCTTAAATAGTTTTCTGTCAAGTAAGTTCTTACAATGATGGAAAAGTCACCAGTATAGTGTCCAGCAGTGCAAAGAACTTGTCCAAGTCCTCCGCAATTTTATGACACATACCAACATCTTCCAGTACAGTGATTCTCAACCTGCGGGTCACAATTCCTTTGGCAAACCTTTGTCTTCAAAAATGTTTAAATCATGATTCATTACAGTAGCAAAATTACACTTATGAAGTATCCAAAAATAAATAAATTTTATGTTCAGGGATTGCCACAGCAGGAGGAACTAAATTAAAGAATACAGTATTAGGAAGGTTGAGAACCACTATTCTAGTATCTGAGAATGTGCTAATATCCTGGTGGTATCTGTGCATAAATTCTCAGCCCCACAATATCCTGGTAATGGAGATGTGTGACCCCTCTGAGAAAACCATTGGAATGAGTATCTCCATCAGTGTCTTTAAGCAGTCACTATAGGATGTTATTGGTCTTCTCTCCCACGTACTCCAACATCCTCCCAGTCTCTAGCCTAGGACCCAATTCTAAAGCCATTCCACAAAGTAAACGATACAACAGTTTTCCACTTCCTACTACCGTAGTCTCATTTGCTTGCTATGACTGACATGAGAAAAAAAAAGATACCTCTGTGGCTTAAAACATTAGGAATTACTCTCAGTGTTCTGTAGATGAGCAACCTGAGCTGTCTGGGGGCTCTGGAGGAGGCAACCCCTGTCTCTGATTGCTCCTGGAATTCCATTGGCTGCAGCAGCAGAACTCTGTTTGCCTCTGTCACCCCAAGGCCCCCTCTTCTACTCTGTGTCATCTGTCCTCCTGTTGCAGCACAAATCACCCTAACGAGATCTGCTAAGACAAGGAGGGGGTGCCCAGAAAGTTCTGCCAAAAGCTCACAATCCCAGTGAGGAAGAGAAAAGGATCTGGAGCCAGAAAAACAAAGAAAGGGGTCAGAAGGAGCCCTCAGTGTTCTAAGGTATGTCCAACTTGGGCCCTTGTGAGGAAGACTGGCACTAAACTTAACAGGCATAGCACCTGCTGCAGGAATCTGATACCTTTTCCTGTTCATTAATATTCATACACAGTAACATGTCCATTTATATGGTCAAATTTGAGGTATAGGAGCCCCCTGCTGAGGACAGTGTAACTAACATTTCCTTGATGGTACCCTTGGAGTATCAACACCCTTCCACCTGTGTCCCCAGCCAATGGGTTACAGTTACAGGGTCCAGGAAACTGCTGATTCTGTCCATTGATGTCTCCTCAGGGTGGGAGAATTAAGAACTCAGCCTGCTACTGTAGGAAGCTGGTACATTCTTGCCACAATCTGCCTCTCTCTTGGCCCTCTCATTTAATGAAAATTCCCATTAAAGACAGGCCATAGGTGATCTGAAAGGAAAGTTTATATTTTTCCATGTAGTAAGCTGCATGTTATTAGGATTTTAGATAACATTCTAAGGCATGGGTGGCTATGAGGAAATGCCCCACCTAAGATCCCCATCCCTGAATGCTTCCCTTTCCTCTCAAGGGTACCAACCTCATGTCCTGACTTGTTTTTTAAGTAGTTACACTCATCTTTTCTCTGTCATGCTGAAAAATTCCCGAGTTCATGATGTATTTGAGGTTTATGGTTTTTCCCCATAAATCCAGATGGATTCCCCAGAGATGGGAGCTTCAAGATTCAGTTCTTCAAAAGTGATATATAGAGGGAGGTCCTTGCTTTTAAAGCATGAGCCTGGAGAAGGAAAAATGAGCACGCACACAGCCCTACCCCAAGACTTTGATGCTGGATTTTTTTCTAAAACAATGCACACTGTTTGGAATGAAAACCTATGACTGAACAGTGAGTCTCCTGTTTTCGTGGAATTAATTACTCCTATAGACCATCCAGCAAGCTATAAGGTAGGAGATGTACTACCCAAACCTGGTCAATATAAAACACAATGTTCCCTTCTCACTCTCATTATTCTGTCCTTGTCACACTGTACATCAAATCATAAAAAGTAAAAATTGAAGGAAAATAGGTCTTCACTTTACCCAAGGATTGCGTGTTCACAATTGCAGGCTTCCTGTTTATCCAGGCCCAACTTCTATCATGTCCATTTGCTGATCGCAGGCTGATGGTATGGTGTTTTCATAAAAGCAGATACTCACGATCTGTTATTAAGTCCCTTTATCCAAGTCTGTTTTGAAGGATTTATTCTATTACACTATTCTGTCATTTACTCTGAAGCTGTGCTTTCTGAACTAGCATGTCAGCACGTAGATGGATGTATGTGGCTCATGCATGTCCCCACCTCCTGCCTTAGGTCACTGGATGTCCTTGATCTTGTTAGATGATACCCTGAGAACCGGCAGATTCCCATTAAATGATATGGGCTACAAGTTCAGTCAACACAACTGCCCTTGGAAGAGTAACGTCTTGACCATGGATCTTTTTCTTCCTCTCTACTCAGAGCACAATACTTCCTATGCTTCCCCCTGAAAATAAAGAAATCTCATTTACATGTAACATGATGGCCGGCTTGTTGGGGTTTCCGTCCCGCCCGGTACCCCACAGCCGACAAATCCCAAAGAGAAAATCACACACAGGACTCCATAAGATTATAAACTGATTGGCCCATTAGGTCAGACTACTTATTAGCTCTTACAACTTATGTTACCCCATTATTCTGATCTATGTTAGCCACACGGGCTCAGTACCTTTCTCGGTGTGACAGCTTACAAGTTGCCTCTTCGGTGGTCTGCACAGAAATGGCTGAGGGAGCTTTCTCCTCCCTAGCCTTATCCTATTCTCACTGCCCCGCCTCTACTTCCTGTCTGGTTGACCCGCCTATACTTCCTGCCTGGCCAATCAGCGTTTTATTAAAATATGATTGACAGAATACAGACAATTCTCCCGCATCATTTACAAACTCAGACAACAGTCAGGGAGGAGGGTTGGAAGGAGCACGGTGATTTTTCTCTTCACTGGTAGGCCTGCATGGATGTTCATGCAGGTAACAGGGAGGAGCTATATAGTCATTGAGTTAGGGACAGTGACATTATAAGTTTCGTGATATTTATGCTAGATGTGGCATGGACCAAACTGTATCTCTATCTTTGCTGTTCGAATTCCTGCGTACACAGCCTGCAGTCATGGGCAGAATCTCCAGGATTCTGGTGGGGGTATTTGAACCTGGAGGCAGTCCTGGAAGGGTTGATGGAGACCTCCCAGGCTTTTCTACCAGAGTGGGTTGATATTTTAGGAAGCAAGGGCAAGGAACAGACACATCCCTGAAAAAATATTGGAACCAGTAGGTCTTGGGGCATCCAGCAGAACAGAGGGCCATCAATCATAGTAAGCTTGGCAGAGCCTGAGAGACAGTTGCTGAGTTCAAGACCATGAAATAGAGATGAAGTATCTCCCACCAAGGAACCTCATCTAGAGGATCCCTCCCAACCATCCCAGGCTTCCAGTTTCTAAAACAAAGACTCTGTGTTCACAGCAGAAAGACAGTTACTGTTCTAATCCACCCTGCCTCTGTGTCTCCGACAGAGACTTTAGTAAATATTTACCACAGTAAGACCGAGCAAAGAGAAAAATGGCAGGATGGACACACAGCACATGGACCTGTAAGGTAAAGTAATCACACAGATAGAACCAGACTACAGCAGTGGACACATAAGTGGATAGAGACAAAAGCGAACACTCCTTTATGACTTAACCTACAGTGGAAGGTTTCCCATATGAAGCAGCACGGAAGAGTGGATTTTACTGGAAATGATTATGAGAGAACAGAAGAGCAGTGTGAGGAAATGTTCAAAACACAAAGAGAGCAAAGCCCTTCACCTTTAGTCTCGTCAGAAGCCATTTGTGTTGTTTCCAGTTTGGTAAGTGTCATCGTCCTGTGGCTAATATCACAGTTACCAGTTGCCTGTGAGGCTAGGGTCTTCTCCCAGGGTCTTAGCCTCTTGATTTTCTCTCCCGTAACTTGACTTGGAGCCCATTTTTGTTTCAGGTGTATCATGGTTTTCTGTCTGAGTTTTGACACTTATTCACCTATTCTGTATTCTTTGTAGATTAAAGATCTGCAAAGAGTAAGTCTTCATCATCCTTGGATGGTAAATATCTTCATGCAACTAAGATGAGGCCATCAAGCAACTCTGCTATGTGAAAACACAAAACCTTTATTTACTAAAAGTGCCCCGAAAATCAATGACACTCACAATTTAGACAAAGACAATGGCCACTCCCTCAGTATTTGCATGATAATATCTAAGCACAAGGTCAGAAGTAAAGGACAAGATTCCCAGGGACTGTGCACTGACTCTCTGCAGATTTCCATGGGGATGGATACTGTGGTTTTTCAGTTATCATTCACTACAACAAGAAAAGGCTTGCAAGCTTAATAGCTCTTAGATAGACATGGGAATAAAGACCGTTACCTACCAAACAGAACTACCCTGGAGGGTCACTGTGGCAACTTTTTGCACAGTAGAATTCATGCTCTGTAAAGGAAATACGAGCTTGGCTAAGACTTAGCTCTGCATGGAAAGTCACATACAACAGACACTCGAGGCTCAGCACATAGTCGAGTCTTTCTCCTGGAATGGGGCTGTAAAGCCCTCCTGACTATCAGAAGGGCCAGAACCATCAGGAGTGACGCTTGGGCAGCCATGTGAGGTGGCTTCTCATTTATTTCAGATCAGTTGAAATCATGCCAACTTGCCTTCATTCTGCTCAATGGCATCCATGATTAGATGAAGTGCCAGTAACCCAGCTGTCCCTCGAGTTGACTACTTATCAACCTTCTACACTCAAGAGTTTGATATCTGAGAACTACAGGGTGGAGGCCATTTGCATGCCCCTTACAATGCAGCCATACAGTCCATCATGTAGACAACTTGTGCTCAATTCTCACTGCCTTTAATGTTCTGTATTCGCAGACATACTAAGATTTACCTTCCCCACAGGATGGAATATTTCCTTAGAGACCTCCTTGCTCCGTCCCAGAAAGTCACAGAGAAGGTGAATGGACAGGAAGGAAGGAGGAGTTGCTCCTTCAAGCTGTACCATGCACTGAAAGAAAAGACAGGTTTTAATTATCAGGGTACCGTCTACAACTTTTGTTCTTACTTTACAAGAAACCACAGACAAAAGAGAATTGGTTCAATAAAATTTTTGCCTGAAATTTTGTGTATCAGACACAAAATAAACTATTCTAACTTAGAAATGAAGAAACTTAATTCTAGAAATAGAGCAGTATATTCAGGAGGAACACCTTGTTATGTATTGTAGGTCTCCAAGTACCCAGAGTAAAACTGATACTTGTGTTCGCAAAACCAACCTAGCAAGTTGTGCTAGCCATGGAAATGTACCTCACAAACTTTCAGCTATGGTATGTGGTTGAGGATCCTGTTTCTGCATTCTGAAATCTACATGAGATCCTCAGGTCAGCCTGCAGTGGCTCTGGGTTCTTCTGACAGCTCTGCTGAATCCACGGGAGACTTCATAGCAGCTTCGCATCTCATCTCTCTCTCTTTCTCTTCATATATATATATATATATATATATATATATATCGTATATATATATTTATATATATATATATCTTCCAACTCTTTCTCTTTTCTTCTAATCTGAGAGTTCTGAGTCAGATTTATTCTTCTTATTTTATTAATTTCAGATGTATTTTCTTCATTAAAACAAAACTAGAAAACACATATAATTCAGTTCTGTCTTGTCACATACTCTTAGAGAACCTGGACCAGGCTTAAAGATAAAAATTTAAATCACGTACACATGTGAACAGTATCACACTTGCACCAACTGTGATTACTTCATGATTTTGTGCTTCAACCAGTGGCTTATAGGTAGGCACCTATATGTGTCCATCTCAACATAGTTTTGACCTTTTGTATACTAGACTTTCTTGTGGGCTAGGCAATGCTGAGGATATCTGCTGAAGCTCACTTTTTGTGGCTGAGTGGAATTCTAGTTCCATTATCTCTATGACAACCTTACCAAGCAAGAGAGTTGCCTCTGGCTGAGTAGAAGTGCACTTCTCAATATGTGTACATTGGGTGTTTCTGGAAAGAGAGCGGGTGGTAATACAGAATTGTGTCCTAAGAGAAAGGAAAAAGAGAACTGAAGAGGAGATTTTATTCATTATCTTTAAAAGTGGAAAAAAGCGAATGGAAATTCCAGGAAAAATAATGAGCTGTTAGAACAGGGAGGGCTCAGTGGGGCTTAGGCAGTTCTATCAGGGCTGTCTCAGGAGGAACGCCTGCTATCAGAGTGTTGAAACATGCTAATGGATGCATGGACAAGGAGACAGACTGTTGTACATTCGAGGGTAAAATCAGCAATTGTCTAGGACCAAAATTATGTATTTTAGACATTGAAAAAAATCCATCTTTGGTTTTATGTTAAGGACTTAAAGCTATCTGTTAAAGAGGTTAATTTCGTTACAGTATAGAATAAATAATAAATTTTAGTTCTTAAAAGCATTACAGATAGTAAATTCTCAAATATTTTTGGAAATATTTTATGTGATTTTAGTTAAGGGCATCTCTAATAATAATGTGTGTGGGTATTTGATTAATAGTTAAAATACGTATGTCTAGAAAAAAATACAAACCTTGGTATTCACTGGCATAGCTACATTATATTATTTTACTGTTATTCTACAATATGAGAAATTATGTTACCCAAGAAAACTCAAAAAAAACACTGCTGAGTCTATATGCCATGGCAAGGGTCCTACTCATGAACTCATGATAAAAGGGACTGATATCATCCTTGGCTTCAAGGCTTGGGCTCTGGAGAGCAGAACACCCACCAGGATGTGAGGACACATGCTAGAATAAAGAACAAAAGGATAGTTTGCTGTGGTGTACTGAAGACCTCACCATGAAGGGGATTTGAACTGGCTTGTATAAACTAAAAGACCAATGAGGGCATCTCTCTCACCTCTCCTATTGTTTCTGCCCCATTCCCCACAGTTGTGGAAAGTGTAGTATTCACCCACTTACCTCAGGTCAGTTAGTCCTGGAAACTCTGAATTAGGTGACCTTTAGAAGATCTTGTGTGTCCTATAGCAAGCTGCATCATAATATTTAGGTAAAACTAACTAGCATTGAACCCACACAATGCTGTGCTTGCCATAAATTAGAGTTAAGAATGTTTTCTGTATTGATTCAAGCCCTGAAACAAATATTATCAGTCAAGCTTTAATAAGAATTCCTCAGAAGCCAAGTCCACTGAGGTAGCAGAGTTTGAACTGCTACCAGGTCTGTCTGACTTCAAGACTCAGTAATTCATCTACATAATAAATGCTTCACATGCTTACCATGAGGACAAGAACACTATATAAACACATTTAAGTATGTCTGTTGCGATTTCTCACCCATTCCAATAGGACAGGCCTGGATGTCAATCATGGTGGCCATTCAGTAGTAAGTATTCAAGGCCCATAGTCTAATTTCCTCTTTCAAGAAGTTTCAGCCTTATGCTCTCATTCTATAAACAAATACTAAACATCTCCCAGGTGCCAGGAGATAGTAGAAAAGAAAAAGAAGACGTGAGGGCCGAAGAATAAGTCGAGGCATCCAATTACTCCAAACAAGCTGGCCTGTGACAGTATCTCAGTTCACATCTCCCAGAACAAAGAGGCCTGCTAGGACAGAAACATAAGCACGCTGGGGCTTACAGCACTTACAGCACTTCCAAGCTGTGGACACCTAGCATGCTCGGGCTTCATTTTACTCCCTCTCTTCGCAACAACCTTTTCACTAAGTAATTCTTTTAGTTTTAGGCATCCGACTTTATAATTCTAATCTTCCCTTCACTGACATCCAAGGACATGCCGTGGCATGTAAAGTGAGTGAAGAGAGACAGTTACTAAACATAACATGTGTGCCTAGATCATGAGACTGAAATATGGGTGAAAGAAGCAATTGGAATAGAGAAACGGGGACTTATATATGATCATGGATCCTGGAGATGAAGATCCTAGATGGTGCCTCTGGAGGTTATGGAGGGGCAGTAGGTGGCTGTGGATAGTGTAGATAGAGGGGGTGGATGGTGAGGATGGAGGTGGTGAGTAGTAAAGACCGAAGTGGTAAATAGTGAGGATGGAAGTGGTAGGTTGTGTGGTTGAGCTCATTAACTAAGCAGATAGGTTCATGGAAAATGAACTATGCATCAAGTTTTTACAAACCATCATTTTTCTTGAGGACTGAGGTTTTCTTTTTGATTCTAGCTGTCACTCAATTTTGGTCAAAGAAATAGTAAATATGACTGTAGTCATTAAGTCCACACCAACACTAGTCAGGTCCTGATTTCTGCTGATTACATCAAGGGGAGGTTCTAATCATTGGAAGTGAGTGGGTACCTCAACACATATGGTGCTCTTCATCCCTTGGACATAATGAAGAGCAGCAGAACCAAACAGTATATAGAAATTAATTCAGTCTGATGTAATAACTGGCTTCTTTTGGGGAAGAAAAGTTGAAAGAAACTGAGGTATGAGGCTGCAATAGCTTGTTCAAAATACCCAAAGGTCTTTCCTGAAAAACAATAAGTTATTGTATGCTCTGTAGCTATAGGGTCAGAAGTGTGAGTGGCATTCTAGAATTTCAAGAAAGTATATATTGACAGGGCCTACTAGTGTAGGCCTATAATCCTAGTTTCCAGGAAGGCTGAGGCAAGGGGACAAAGAGTTCAAGGTCAGACTGGGATACTTAAGGAAGCCCATGTTAGGGAAAAGTAGAAGAAAAAAAGCCTGGGATAAAAATATGATTCAGTGATAGAATACTCGCCTACCATGAGTGAAGCCATAGGTTCAAACACAAGTATCACAGAAAAGAAGAAAGGAAGAGAGAGGGAAGGAAGAAAAGAAAGAAGAAAAAAAGGAAAAGGGAATCATACCTTAACTACATTACAGTTGTACAGACAACATGGTAGAGAATCACCAAGATATAAGGGTTGCTTGACTTTGAAAGTGCTTGGCACACCCTCAGCTCCCCAACCTTGAGCAGTAGAGAGATAATCTTAACAGCAGGGACACCAGGCAATCCATTCTCAACAACCAGCACTCGTCTGTGTCCACAGTGAGAACATAGATGCAGTGATTACTGGTGCCCCACTTTAGTATGCCTAGAAAAAGCAGGGTATTGGTACACAAATGCACCCATATGCAGAATACATCCAAATAAAAATACAGGACATTAATGCTCCATCAGGTTCTAGAGAGACTTGGAAGAGCATGAAAATGCTGATAAAATACATTTTGCATTCACTAATATCTAGGCCTTGGGTTCCTTATTAGTAATAAAGATAATAAGTGCTAAGCAGCACTTGAGTGTGAGGACAAGCCAAGGACACGCGGGATCTTGTCTTTAAATAAGTGCTTGTACATTACACATGTAAAGTCTATAACCATCCCGTCACACCAAGCTGCCAAGTAATCTGTCTCTGTCACATCTTAGTCTGAGGAGAACAGGTGAGGGTCCTGGCCAGAGCAAGCACTCACTATACAGTTCTGGTTTCCTGAAGTACAAATGGACATGCATTTTCCCATTTTGTATTAGAAGAAGTCGCTCCTGAGATGAAAGCAACATGCCCCATTCTGAGATAAGAATCGCCCCACTCTGGAACAGACCCTTGAAACAGGAAGTCAAACCGTGCAAGTCCTTCCAGATGCATACTCTGCGCTGTGGTTCCTTCAAGCAAAGGTTTTGATTTTCTTTGGTTTTGAGAATTTTATTTATTATTGGGTTTGAGTAACTAAGCGTCGTGAGTCTCATTGTTCAACATGTTACAGTTCATAGACGGGGCACATCTGGAGTAAAATTTTGAATCTATCTGAACACATATGCTTTAAAAGTTGCTTGTGACCACGCTGGATCTTTTGCCTGATCTTGTGCAGTATTTTCAGACCCAAAAGCAAGAATAATGAGTTAGCTTCATAAATTGCCTCAGTCGGAAATGCTTATCTTAGAGCAGTGGCTCTCAACCTGTGCATCAAAAACCTTTTTGGCGGGGGAAGTCAAATGACCCTTTTACAGGAGTCTCTAA